TATTTTATGTTACCTTTGGATAAAATTTTCTTTAACTAATTCATTATCTTTTTATAGGTTTCTTCACATACAATTCATAATGCAAAATACATGGATGCGTATTTGGTCATGGATGTTCAGCTGCACCTAAACCACTAATGCGAAAAAAAATTATGCCTCAAGAGTATGAAGATCAATTTGAATGGTTCATGAGTAGTAAGGAAAATGTGAACTTAAGCTCTTACAAAGTTGATAAAAAAACGGGATTGCCATTAAAATACCTTAGTGATCAAAAAGAAGCTTTTTGAGAAAAATTTCATAAATTATATCTTGAAGGAATGAGGAGATCAGCATTTTTAAAAAGATTGCGAAATGGACCATTTGTATATCAAGAGGATTTAGGAGGACTTTGTAGTACATATAGTACTTATGGATATGATGTGTTTAAGGATTTAGCAAATCTAATTATACAAAATATTGAAGATCAGGAGCTTCAGATTAGGTATGATGAATTCTAATTTTTTTTTTTATAAATATTTCAAACTAATATCAAAATTATTAAATTAGACGTGTTTACTGAAGAATATTGAAACTTCTAAATGATTTCTTAAACATGATTATCCAAAACACTTACATGTGACATGGTATTACATGACTCTTATATTAATCATTGCTTACCATTTGCATTTGGTAATTGTAATGAGAAACATCTATTAGAATGTGGTAAATGTAATGAAATCTTCAATTTATTTGAGAAATTACGATCATTACTTGGAAATGAACAACAAGAAGTATTGAAAGAACTTCAGAAAATGTTAGGATATTACCTTGCACATTTAACAAGAAAGGAATATTTGAATAGTCAGTTCAATGCAAATCTTTTACAACTTAATAATGATGGAATTCTTATTGTAGTGGATTACAAAATGAGAATACTTTTAAAACGAGTTTGAGAAACAAAACAAGACTTTTATGCAAAGCGTAGATGGGCATTACATACTGTTTTAGTATATTCTAAAAATAAAGAAAGCAATGAATTAAAAATTCAAGCATTTGATCATTGGTCCAATGATAATAGATAGGATGCATAGTTTACTGCATCATCCTTTGACGTGATAATTACCTTACTTAATCTAAAGCCAAAGTGGGTCATTGTAATGAGTGATAATGGTCCACATTATTATTGTTCAGAAACAATGGCATATGTTTCAAAATGGGCAGAATGGTATAATATTGAGTGTAAAAAGTGGTTTTTCTGGAAGCAGGAGAAGTCAAAATGTCAATTGATAGTCATCATGCACAAGTATTTATATACTTTGCTTTTTTTGAAAATTTTTATTTATTTAATTCTCAACTCTCTTAATTTAATCAATCAATCTAAGTTATCACATGCTATTAAGAGATATGTTCGATTAGGATTTGATTTAACTACCAGTGAAGATATTGAAAAAGCATTAGATGGTTTAAGTGATACATCAACAACTTATTTAAAACCCAATCACAATCAAAGAAACCAAAGCAATGTTAAATCTGGAATTTCTAATTGGTTTGAATGGTCATGGCCAGTTGAGGATTTATTAGCTGGATATGTTTGTGCACGTGATCTTCCTGGTTTTGAAGAAACAAAAATTTTTTCTATGAGTAAATTTATTAAAACAGAACTTGTACAACCTGAACCAATAGTAAGTGAACATTCAGAGGTTTCCTCAAAATAGACAATGCCAATATATCGAGCTTCAGGCAAGCTTATCTCTTCAATGACATTTTAATTAATAAACGCGTATAGTTTCTTTTTATTGATTTTATTTAGTAGTGTCAAATGCTGATCGTTAGGATCTAAGAAGATGGTCTGTTGATAAATTAAGAGATATATTAAACAGAAGAAATATTCATTTTGATATTATTTCAGGACGAAATGAATTAGTGAATTTATTGAAGCAAGAAATAGAAGAAGAAGCACAAATTGGTAAAGAATCAAGAGAAGATTTTTCAAAAATGGATATAGATGAGTAAGTAAAGATTTAGTTTTATTATATAAAATGATTGATAATTATTGATCAAATAATTTCTAAAATATAATAGGAATCGAATATTCCATCTACCTCTTAGATGGGCATTTAAATGCAATCAGAAATATGGTAAAAAAGGTAGTGAAAAGAGACTAGTAAAAGAATTAGTAGCGGCATTGACTCATTATTTTATGGTAGGATAACGTGATCCTAGTGATCGATATACTGCAAAGGATATGTTAGATAGATTAAAAGAAATGGTAGAAAATGGTGAACTTATTGCTGAAGTAATACCTTCTTTAAAAACAATAGAAAATTGGATTACTAGATTTTCTAGTTCATCGAAAAAAGAACATGGAGAACGATTTCTAGAACAAAATATTTGTTAAAAATCGATATTAGAAATTTGATACTAGCAGCTAGTAAATAAAGATCGAAAACTGTAATAAAAATTTACTAAATATTATTCAAATATACAAACTGTAAAATGGATCAGAGAAAAACCTTTAAATTGGTACTAAAACTGTAGCAATATTAAAATTTTATAATCAAAAAACACGTCAAATATGATTTCTATCTTTTTTTTATTATTAGAGTATGTTTATTAAATTTAAATTGCAAAATTTGAACAAATATTAGAAATGTACAAATTGGAATTATAAAAAAAATCTATATATTAAAGACAACAATATGACATTGCCCACTACTAAAACTTTTAAAATAAAAAGATGATGTCATCAAGAAACTGTTTCAATTAAGACACGTAATTATGCTATTGTACTCACAAAAAAATGGTAGCTGAAAATTACATGTAAGATGATGTCTCCTAGTGACTAATTTTGGCAATTTTCCAGAATTACTTAGTGATCGGCAAAATTTTGCCCTACATTACACTAAGTATTTTATATCATTAATCGGTGAATCACGAATTAAGTATTTTAAGAGTAACAAGCATAGAATCACTATGTGTAAACTTTGGATCTTTATTATACCAATAAGTTGCTTTATAAAATCCTTCTTTAACAATGCATTTAATATCTTTGAAATGATCAAAGGGAACAATCTTTGTTATTTGTTCAATCGACCAAATATCGAATTGTTGTTTAGATCTTATTAAATCACCCAAGACTTTATTTTCACTTTTATATAATAAGTTAAAATGTTTCCAACTTAATTCTGAAATTATCATAAAATAATTTGTAATTGGATCTTGTGTAATTCTATAACACATACTTATTTTCCGACAATCAAGGTATAACTGAATTTATTAAAAGATCGTATTAATAAAGCTCTTTATGTTAATAAATTTATGATTAATACGCATCTCATTTAGCATTTCAGTAGATATATTATCTGAATTATCAAGTTTTTTAAGAGCAACTTGCATTGGTCCACTCCTATAAAAATTTAAATTATTATAATGCAAGTCAAGAATTTTGCCATCAATCCAAGTTGCTTTAGTAAATTAGTAGTATGATAATAGGCTTTTTGGCACAAAAAGCTCGAATGCCTTCAGAAGGTCATCTTGGGTATTACAATTTTATATATCGAATTTCTCATATCAAATTCCTAATGAAATAATACTTGAAAGCCTAAGATCACCAATTCACTTTCTTGACTAGCTTTCATTCTGAAATCACTTGTTTCCAAATAGTAAAAAAATTTTTGCTTTTTGGCACAAAAAGCCCAAATGTATCTAGAAGGTTATCCTAGATATCAAAAATTTAACACATAGCGTAAACCCATTATTATTATACATGTGATCTTAAGGTAATCAATTTGCTTTCTTGATTGGTATTCGCTCTGTAAACATTTGCTTCCTATATGTAAAAATAAATACCCACTTTGGCACAATCAAGTCCGAAACCTTTTTGGTTCTCAT